GAAGTCACAAAAACACGGTTCAATAATTTCATAGTGCTGTGGAACATGCAGTTGCGAGCGCCGTAAAACCCTCTACTATAATTTTTTGTATTTTTAAATAGTGCTGTGGAAGCGTATTGAAGCGCGTACGCGTCCCGAATAGTCCAGTGTTATTGACGCGTACGCGTCCCTAACACCAGCCAAAAATAAAAGCAGCTATCGGCATTGAGTCCTGCCTGCATTACATAGAAAGACAGAGAGTAAAATGGTTTGGCCACCTGTTACGTATGTCACCTGGCCAACCAGCCTCGAGAACCTACAACACCAAGCACTCAGGCTATAAAGGAAGAGGAAGGCCACGCAAAAGGTGGATCGAGGGTGTCGAGGAAACCCTAAAAAAACATTCATAATATCACAACTGAAAGAGCTGCGGAGCTCGCCTACCATAGAAAACTGCATCTCCCCTCGACGCTAATCGGCAACAGAGGATGAACAAGTAAAAGTAAAAGTAACAAGTAATCAGATCAAACCACTTTTGAGGCAACTTTTTCATCATATGAAAATTAGTTAGAGAAATTTGGAGGTGAAACGACTTTGTCCCCACCATCCAGAAGCATTACTTAGAACAAAGAGATGGAAGACAAAGTTGACTCTTCTCGTTTGAATGGTTCTCAAAATGCGTTGCTCGCCGTGAGTATAGAAAAACCATCACTGTTTTGTTCTTATTGCTTGCTATTTGGTGGTAAAGAAGTGGAAGCAACGTTAGCCCCACCAAATTTTGGTCCACCCACCGCCACTGCACAAAACACTGTACACAAGACACTTACACAAACATTGTACACAAGACACAAAACACTGTACACAATACACACAACACTGTACACAATACACACAACTCTGTACACAATACACACAACTCTGTACACAATACACACAACTCTGTACACAAAACACAAAATACTGTACACAATACACACAACTCTGTACACAATACACAAAATACTGTACACAATACACACAACTCTGTACACAATACACACAATACTGTGCACAATACACACAACTCTGTACACAATACACAAAATACTGTGCACAAACACAAGATACAGTACACAAGACACTTACACGCTCTAAAAAAGGAATCCCTCGCTACTACTGTGCACTTGCAGGTTTTTTTAAATAGAGGGAGGGGTAAATGTTATCTTCTTTTTCTCTTCTTCCTCCTCATTGAAATGACCTATTTGTTTTCAGTAGGGCGTGATTATACTCTTAAAGAAGACAAAACCACAGAAGCAATCAGCATTTTAAATATAATATCCTGTTTGGCGCAGAGGAAGCAGGGTTGTAGGAGCTATCTCTAGTCTGTTAGGCGCTGGGGCTTCGTGTGCCTCAAGGACATTGTCGTGAAACGTGTGGATGCGCACCTTGGAGTAACTATTAATATAATATAGTTACTCCAAGATGCGGACTCCTTGAATCAGTGCACAGGAGGGGCGGGTCAAACTCCATCATTGTACGGTCAGTCAACACTTGTGTAGCAAAGCGCTTACGTGGGTGTACAATAATATGTCATTACGTGTGACAACCTTGATGTATCCTCTGTCACCGTCCGCTATGTTGTCACAGTGTGGTGAGTGGTGGACCATCACAGGCTACAATCACAAGCGCTGTGCTGTAGCAGGAGAGCCGCGTGGGGGGGGGGGAGTTTTATCAAGTTGGCCCTACATGTATATTGGTCTTTCTGCTGGGATGTTGTATTCCTCCCAGCCCTGGTTGGCATTGACAGGCAGTGTCGGAAGCCTGCCCCCTAGATTATCCAAATTGTGTCGATAGGCGCGTAAACTCACCTATAGATGATATATTTTTTAAGGCAACAACTAACGTGTTAAAATCTAAAAAGCATAACAATAAAATGCGCACCCTTTCGGGAACTGTAGGTTAAACCAGAGGGGTTTAACAGTAGCACTGTTCATGTGAGACTGTCGTTTACGAGAGGTTTTACAGTAGCACTGCACATGTGAGACTTTGTCGTTAAACCTGAGAGGTACTAAGACTTTGTCGTAAACGGGAGATCAGTTCAGTTGGCTTGGGGAAAAACTCGAGAGACAAATGGCACACAGACGCACTG